GAAAGCGCCAGACATAAGTGACTGATAGAAAGCGCCAGACATAAGTGACTGATAGAAAGCACCAGACATAAGTGACTGAGATAAAGCACCAGACATAAGTGACTGATATAAAGCACCAGACATAAGTGACTGATATAAAGCACCAGACATAAGTGACTGAGATAAAGCACCAGACATAAGTGACTGAGATAAAGCATCAGACATAAGTGACTGAGATAAAGCACCAGACATAAGTGACTGATATAAAGCACCAGACATAAGTGACTGATATAAAGCACCAGACATAAGTGACTGATATAAAGCACCAGACATAAGTGACTGAGATAAAGCACCAGACATAAGTGACTGAGATAAAGCAGCAGACATAAGTGACTGAGATAAAGCACCAGACATAAGTGACTGAGATAAAGCACCAGACATAAGTGACTGAGATAAAGCAGCAGACATAAGTGACTGAGATAAAGCACCAGACATAAGTGACTGATAGAAAGCACCAGACATAAGTGACTGATAGAAAGCGCCAGACATAAGTGACTGATAGAAAACACCAGACATAAGTGACTGATAGAAAGCACCAGACATAAGTGACTGATAGAAAGCGCCAGACATAAGTGACTGATAGAAAGCACCAGACATAAGTGACTGATAGAAAGCGCCAGACATAAGTGACTGAGATAAAGCACCAGACATAAGTGACTGAGATAAAGCACCAGACATAAGTGACTGATAGAAAGCACCAGACATAAGTGACTGATAGAAAGCGCCAGACATAAGTGACTGATAGAAAGCACCAGACATAAGTGACTGATAGAAAGCACCAGACATAAGTGACTGATAGAAAGTGCCAGACATAAGTGACTGATAGAAAGCACCAGACATAAGTGACTGATAGAAAGCGCCAGACATAAGTGACTGAGATAAAGCAGCAGACATAAGTGACTGAGATAAAGCACCAGACATAAGTGACTGAGATAAAGCACCAGACATAAGTGACTGAGATAAAGCAGCAGACATAAGTGACTGAGATAAAGCACCAGACATAAGTGACTGAGATAAAGCAGCAGACATAAGTGACTGAGATAAAGCACCAGACATAAGTGACTGAGATAAAGCACCAGACATAAGTGACTGATAGAAAGCACCAGACATAAGTGACTGATAGAAAGCACCAGACATAAGTGACTGAGATAAAGCAGCAGACATAAGTGACTGAGATAAAGCACCAGACATAAGTGACTGAGATAAAGCAGCAGACATAAGTGACTGAGATAAAGCACCAGACATAAGTGACTGAGATAAAGCACCAGACATAAGTGACTGAGATAAAGCAGCAGACATAAGTGACTGAGATAAAGCACCAGACATAAGTGACTGAGATAAAGCAGCAGACATAAGTGACTGAGATAAAGCAGCAGACATAAGTGACTGATAGAAAGCACCAGACATAAGTGACTGATAGAAAGCACCAGACATAAGTGACTGATAGAAAGCACCAGACATAAGTGACTGATAGAAAGCACCAGACATAAGTGACTGATAGAAAGCACCAAACATAAGTGACTGATAGAAAGCACCAGACATAAGTGACTGATAGAAAGCACCAGACATAAGTGACTGATAGAAAGCGCCAGACATAAGTGACTGAGATAAAGCAGCAGACATAAGTGACTGATAGAAAGCACCAGACATAAGTGACTGATAGAAAGCACCAGACATAAGTGACTGATAGAAAGCACCAGACATAAGTGACTGATAGAAAGCACCAGACATAAGTGACTGATAGAAAGCACCAGACATAAGTGACTGATAGAAAGCACCAGACATAAGTGACTGATAGAAAGCACCAGACATAAGTGACTGATAGAAAGCGCCAGACATAAGTGACTGAGATAAAGCAGCAGACATAAGTGACTGATAGAAAGCACCAGACATAAGTGACTGATAGAAAGCACCAGACATAAGTGACTGATAGAAAGCGCCAGACATAAGTGACTGAGATAAAGCAGCAGACATAAGTGACTGATAGAAAGCACCAGACATAAGTGACTGATAGAAAGCACCAGACATAAGTGACTGATAGAAAGCACCAGACATAAGTGACTGATAGAAAGCGCCAGACATAAGTGACTGATAGAAAGCGCCAGACATAAGTGACTGATAGAAAGCACCAGACATAAGTGACTGAGATAAAGCACCAGACATAAGTGACTGATATAAAGCACCCGACATAAGTGACTGATATAAAGCACCAGACATAAGTGACTGAGATAAAGCACCAGACATAAGTGACTGAGATAAAGCACCAGACATAAGTGACTGAGATAAAGCACCAGACATAAGTGACTGATATAAAGCACCAGACATAAGTGACTGATATAAAGCACCAGACATAAGTGACTGATATAAAGCACCAGACATAAGTGACTGAGATAAAGCACCAGACATAAGTGACTGAGATAAAGCAGCAGACATAAGTGACTGAGATAAAGCACCAGACATAAGTGACTGAGATAAAGCACCAGACATAAGTGACTGATATAAAGCACCAGACATAAGTGACTGATATAAAGCACCAGACATAAGTGACTGAGATAAAGCACCAGACATAAGTGACTGATATAAAGCACCAGACATAAGTGACTGAGATAAAGCACCAGACATAAGTGACTGAGATAAAGCACCAGACATAAGTGACTGATATAAAGCACCAGACATAAGTGACTGAGATAAAGCATCAAGGACATAAGTGACTGAGATAAAGCATCAAGGACATGAATGGTTTTGAAAACCGACAAATTGATGACTGAGACACTTTTGCAACATATGGGAATGTTTAATGAAGAAACGTTTCGCCACACAGTGGATTCATCAATCCAATACAATGAAGAACGGTGTAAGGAGAGGAGGAGGAGTTTGAGGTAATCAATCTCTCCTCATGGAGTCGATGTCTTCACTCCATCAATCTTTCTTCAAGACTGGCGGACTGAACATATCGATTCTAGGATGAGGGACTGAGTACCTCAAACTCCTCCTCTTCTTACACCCTTCTTTTTTGTATTGAACTGATGAAGCCAGTGTATGGCGAAACATTTCCTCAATAAAGACTCCCATATGTTGCATAAGTAAATGCAAGAAACTCTTGGGTTGGGACATAACACAGGTCAGTTAATAGCTATGAGGTAGGGTCTAACAGCTACAGCTCAATACCTGCTGTGGAAAATAATTTCCCAAAATTATGCTGTATATTTTTATAATGTAAATATACTTGATTAATACATTACTATTGCTCTAAAGTGTATTTTAAAGAAGTGAACCGACAGGGAAGCTCTGCGCCTGCGCTGACGAGCAGGGAAGAGATAATGGGTGATAAAAGGGTGATTAAATCCGTGTGGATGCCAGATCCTATATGTACCCAGGTCCTCCACCATTGCCAAAGAAGCATGTACAATTAGTGAAACCATTTGATGTAACAGGTGTAGACTATAGTGATCCAATCATTTTAACAGGTACTTAGTATGGTGTTCCACTGAAAGTGTATGTTTGTTTGTTCACTTGTACTGCTACTAAGGCAGTTCATTTAGAAGTGGAACAGGACTTGTCTGCAGAACAGTTTATTCAGCTGTTTCGAAAATTTGCAGCTAGGAGATCCTGTCCGAGGTTGATGATTTCGGATATTGCCACAAATTTTGTAGCAGGTGCTCAACTCTTGATAGAATTAAATAAGAGCAAAGATGTTCAATCTCTGTTAACCCAACGAGGGCGTACCTGGAAATTTATTACTCCTAGAGCCCCTTGGCAGGGGGGGCTGTACGAAAAACTGGTAGGCACAGTGAAGAGGAATTGGAAGAATTCCCTGCAGTGTTAGTGGAGGCGGAGAATCGGATAAATAATAGGCCTCTCTCGTACATGAGTGATACACCTGATGCAGATGTATTAACACCTTCTCACCTAATATGTGGAAGGAAATTGGAAGCTGCCCCTGTCTATAGAGATAATCCGGAAGAAAGTGATGAAGATTACAATGATGCAGCAGTGTTGTGTGATAAATTTAAAATGTTAAATAAAGTAATTGATCATTGGTCTAATGTGTGGCGTAAGGAATATCTTCCAACACTACGTGAACACTTTTATGGTGCGACAGAAGGAGTAATTTGAGTTATTTAGCATCGACCTCCGCCAGACCGCAGTGTGGAAAATAATTTCCCAAAATTATGCTGTATATTTTTATAATATAAAAATACCTGATTAATACATTACTATTGCTCTAAAGAGTATTTTTAAAAAGTGAACCGACAGTGAAGCTCTGCGCCTGCACTGACGAGCAGGGAGGAGACGCCATTGTTTTTGAATGTGGTACAGGCACGCTAATGTAATGTGCATAAATTTTCGTCTCTCTAGGGGTTATATTGGGCTTAAAACCTCTCAAATAGGAGCCGAAATTGTTAGATTTGCAGTCCTGCATAAGGTGAGTATTAAACAGATGGACAGGACAGCTCCAGGAACCTCAGCTAAGTTGTCTAATTGATGTAGGAATTCTGGCCAGTGTTCTCTTTATAAATTTAGGCAGAGAAGAAGGTTTAGCATGACACACAATAATCTCCAGACTAATTGGTGAGTCTTATGATTATAAATTCTCCTTCTGTTACATAAATGTGTATATGTAATCATTTGTTAATTTTAATATACAGTCCACATGTTTATATTAATGTTTACCATAATTCCTAGTAATGTATATTTCATTTGAAATTAATATAGGTCAAGAGTGACTTGTGGATATGACAGTAGTAGGTATCAAACGGAGATATTTTTTGCGACCTAGGTGTCCCAAAATTCCTTCTTGTCTATGTAACTTTGATAAATAATAATTATCTTTGTTACCATTTACTGGTATGTATCTAATGAGATTCATCCAAGTAAATTTAATTTTCCACACCTTCTGCAAACACATTTGAGTGAGCACAAATACTATCGTTATCTCACTACGGTTCTTCCTTCCTCAGGGTGCCATAAGGGTAATAAAAGACTCGTTTCCAAAAATCACCACAACATTACTTCGTACTTTTTCCGAGGAGGACACAACTTCACCGGAGTCCAGGTTAACCTCAACACTCATACTGAACACACTCAAACCAACCCTCGAGCTGTCACTTTCCCAACAACTCATGTTGATAATTTAATACTGGATTCATCACACTTCAATCCGTCGCTGTGGAACCAAGTGTATGTCGTCTGGATATACCCATATCTAATGGTAAGTTTATAAAGCTTCCTTACTATTGTTGCTGTTATTGCTTTAAGTTTAATTCTTATAAACTACACGTGGCTCATTAGCTGATATTTACTGATTACCTTCCTGTGTTTTCTTATCTTAAAATCACATATGTTTTTCATGTGTTGTCTGGTAAGTTTGTCAGAAAGTCTCTTTCCTTCATGGCTGCCTTTCTTATGCATTGGTGATGTGAATTCACTTTAGAAAAATCTCTAATTACTAAGAAAAAATTAGAGATCTTACATTTTACAATGCTTAGCTCCTTATTAATTAGTTTAATCCCTTCACTGTGACTTTGTACATCAGACTGAGCAGTAATCTTATTGTGACATTGTACCCCTTAGTGAGACGATCTCATGACTGTGATATGTTATCTCTGACTGAGACATAATTCTGTCACTGTGACATTCTATATCTGATCTACACATAATCCAGTCACTGTACTTGTCTGCAACTGAGTTAGCAATAATTCCATCACGTAAAGGCGGTGAAACAACATACACAGGGAATACAAGAAGACTTAAAATCTCGTGTTAGCAAACACAAGTGCCTCTACCTGCATCAGCAGCGAACATAACACTTGTCTGGTGCATACGAGCACCGTCACATATCTTATAGACTGGGAACAGGCTGAGCTCAGCATCACAGAAGAGACCCACACCAGCAGTAAGTATTTGAACATAGTTCTAATAATGACTGAAGCCTATTTTTCAGAAAAAGGTCTCTCAGTATAGCCTTGTTCCTCACCCACTTCATACTAAAGAATAGGGACACACACACAGACATGTAACTCCTCCTGCATATTGGAAGGATGATAGGTAGATTAACTGGTGTCAGTCTCTCTCAGTCTGATGTCCATGACGTTCAGTTGAAATTATTTTTTGTATTATTGTTCTCAAACTACTAATCAACAACCCAAGATTGTAATCTTCATTCTTCAAGGCATACACTTCTGTCAATTTATCTGAAGACCAACGTGAGATGGAATCCTCAGGTGTACTCTGACTCCTGTCTACAATCCTACTCTATGTCTGGCGTCTGACACAAGCATGCCACAGATATTATATATATAGTTGGTTCTGTTCACCAGTCCACTTGTGCAGCTGGTAGTGCAGCTGTTGTTTTACAGAGTGATTACTCTCAAAGAAATTGAAGCACGTATCAATAACTAGGCTTTTACCCTTCATGTTGAACTGTTTGCATACTCCTTGCAAATTCGTTCATGTATCAGAGGTATCGATATCGTTCCAGACCGTGGAGCTGAACTCTTCTCCAGCCTGAGGGACTAACCATCTCAAATACTATTTCTCTAAGGTTGATGGACTGATTGCATCATTACTTCGCTGCTATACCTGCTGTCTCGTTACTCATCAGTATAAATAGTTAAGTCAAATGGCTACATAGTATGTATAAGGAAATGATAGCAGGAGGACTAAAATTTTACTTGCTTGTGACGATATTTGTACACTGGAGCTGGAGGTTGAGCAGTGGCAGTAGCGGGTGAAGTTATTTCTTGTTTCCAGCGTTGTCAGGGGTAAATCTCATTACTGTTGCAAGTAAGGGTTGGCAATCTGAGAAGGAGTATATCAGAAAAAAGTGTTACATCGAAAACATCTGCTAATTTTCCAGCTAAAATCGCAGTTTTGGAGAGCTTATCTCTATGAGAGAATGCTCTATAATCAGTTTTATATAGATCATTCTCGGATTTAACTTCTTTGCACTAGGATATAAAAGCCTTTTACGATTGGCTTTTAACTTCAACACTTATGCATCCTACTCAGAAGACAATTGAAATTGTTAATGGAGTGTGTAGCCGCCAATTGGACAGCTTAATTTTTAAAATGTAAAATAACTTGACAATAAATCTTCTGAATCTTTAATTTTTAATATCTAATGCATATTATGAATAAAACTGAGCAACGATGTATAAGTTTTAATATGTCATTGTCATTAAATAAATTGTTTGTCATACAGTAAGTGGAGATTATTTCTTCAGAGAGGCTTCAGGCCTTAAATGCTGGAGTATCATTCTCAGAGAAAGATTTAAATTAATTTTTGACCGGATAGGTAAAAATCTCTCAATTTTATTAAATATATTGGCAGAATTTAAATACTAATGTTAATGTGCTAGTTTTATAAACATCTCATAGAATCCTCTTGTGAAGGCTTACTCAGCCCTGTAATAACTTCAGTCAGTATTACCAAGGCTGGCTCCTCCTCAGGAAAATTAATGAATTGAAAAAGAAATAATAACAGACAATGATAAACACTTTATTATTTAGAAACGGAAAATGTAAAACAATAAAACATGAATGGGTATCCTAATTGAAAGAAAAATGAAAAATGAAATGAAAAAAAATACATTTGAACTCAACGCTAATACAGGTATATCGTGGTAATGGGGTGTCAGGTGTTGGTGACACTGCGTGTTGTTGAAATCGTAGCCGTTGCTGATGTGGGGGGGGGTCGCAGGTGTTGGTGACAACCACCGGCTCGTTCTTCACAGAGTGTAGCCGTGAATAATTACTTCAGATGACAGGAAAACAGGTTCGTTACCACTGCTATGATGAGGGATTAGGTCCTGCATTGGCTTACATAACAGGTAAGTAAATTAAACATGGGACGTCTCAGGACGTTAGTCCGTCTCCTATTCTTCTCGTTGGTTGGCAGGTGACCCTCTCTGTCATTCCAAGCTGTAAAGAGAAACAGATTACCCACTGCTTAAGAAATCACTCTGAAGCTTTCAACCAATAAGTCCACTAAAATATGGTCAGGCGTGTACTTACAGTAGTGTTGGGAGCTGTGAGTCGAGTGATTTACTGTTTGACCGGAGCCCCACACGTCACCTTTCGGGGGGGGGAAGAGGGAGGGGAAGGGATAGCAGGAGCTAGACTGACCCTACCTTAACAAGCAGCCGGCAATCAAACTATCACTTTCGGGGAGGGGGAAAAAGGGAGGGGGGGAATAGCGGGAGCTGGACTTACCCCACCTTAACAAGTAACCGGCAATGAAACTATTGTTACTATACACTCCCTCGCTACTCCTATCTATTGAACTTTTCCCTCACACTCCCCCATACCAAGACTTATAGTCAAGGAGTATAAGAAGAATAGGCGAGGAAAAAGTTCTAACATGTGGAAGTCGCGTAAGGTAACAAATCTTCTACTGACTGTCACGACTTAACCAGTCAGAGAAATAATTGGATGAACCATTGTTATACACAATATGGAACTTAAAAGCCTGGAGTGCTAATGTCCACCTCAAGAGACGACTGTTGGTTCCCTTAAAAGTTTCTAGGTATGTCAAAGGTTTGTGGTCCGTTTCTAAAATGAATTCTTTTCCCAGTAAATAAAATTTAAGCTTGGAGATACCCCACTCAAGAGCCAAACATTCCTTTTCTATGGTGGAGTATCTCGTTTCTGCAGGAGGGAAGCTTTAGATTTAATAAATATACAGGATTTAGGAGTGTGTGTATTTTGTGCAGTAAGCACCTGACACCTATTGCAAGAACTATACTTCTTTGTAACCTGTAAGTACATGCTTGGCCAAAAATAAGTGTACTTGAGTTTATGCCACGTCTTACGATGGGCCAAGTGTTCGGTCACTGGCAAATCATGAGCCATTTGAAGAACAGTCTCTCGGCATGGTTTAGGAACAACAAGTAGGGAACAATCTATCACTGAAGAATGAGATTTAACTGCTCCTGAGCAGAAGGGTGCTTGGTCATTACAGTCTTTAAAACATCTTCCAACTTTTTGGACCTTCTTAGGACAATCTGGACGTTTATGTCCCTTAACACCACACAAATGACAAACAGGAATAAAAGAAGTCACTTTACTTTCCACTAGAGGCTTTGATTTCTTAAGGTCTGATGAACCCTTGCCCTTAGGGTTCGATCCCTTTAGGTCTTTATAGGAATTGTGAGCCTCAGCATAAAGGACCCCAATGGAAATAAGTCACTCTGTCTGACTTTTTTGGGTTATCCTAGGTTCTCTACACATATGCTGCTATGTATGATAATTCTATGTAACTGTATTGTGTATACCTGAATAAATTTACTTACTTACTTACTTACTAAGTCAGCGGCCTCAGCAACTTCCTCAGCTTTAATCAGGTTACGTTCTCTAATGAATGTTCTTATCTGGTGAAGAAGAGCTGTCAGGAACTGGTCAGCAACCGTGAAGTCTCTAAGAGATTCATAACTGTGATCAATTCCTTAACTCTCTATCCAAAAGTCGAACAAACGAATGAGTGTTACCTGTAACTGCTGAAAGTTCTGGCCAGGCTGTAAGGTGGCATACCTGAAATCTTTCCTATAAGAATTTGTGGTTTTTTGATATGCTTTAAGGATTGCCTTCTTCAGTAGGTTATAATTACATATGATATCCTGCGACAAAGTTGCATAGATATTCAAGGCTGTTCAAGAAAATAACATTCCTAACCTGGTAGCCCAGGTGTCAGCAGGCCATTCACAGAGGGTAGCAGTATTTTCGAACCTGATAATGTATGAAGTTATGTCGTCCCCCTCTGTGAAGGGAGGTAAATTAGGTGTTGGAATATGTGCACTGACTGCACGTTGTTCCATTACTCCTTCCTCTAATTGTTGTTGTGTAAAAGTTAATTTTTTATTCTCTAATTCAAGGCGAGATTTTTCGAGCTCGCGATCCTTTTCTCTCTCTATTAACTCATGTTCTCTATCCTTTGCTCTTTCCTCAAGTTCTCTTAATTTAACTTGTTCCTCACGTATTTTAGCTTGTTCCTCACGTTCTCTAGCTCTTTTTGGTCTTCTCGCTCTCTTTCTGTCTTTCTTGGCTTTCTCTTTCAATTCTCTCTCTCTCTCCTTTTTCTCCTGTCTGTCAAGGTTCTCTTTCTCCTTTTTCTCTTCTCTTTCGATTCTCTCTCTCTCCTTTTCTTTTCTCTATCGATTCTCTTTCTCTCCTTTTCTTCTTCTCTTTTCCTTTCTGTCTCTCTCCTCTCTCAAT